GCGGCCGCCCTCCACTGTTTGCTGCTCGCCAGTGACATCACCTTGGCCATCGCTGCTTGCTGATACTCATGGCAGCTGCTCGCTTCTTGCCAGCGTCGCTGCCACTGCCCCTATGTTCTGCATTGTTCTCATTTTTTTTTCAAAACTAAATGCAAAAATATAAACACATACGTTTGTTTTACACAGCTCTAAATTATTCCAAATGTACTACATTTCAATTACACTGATTTCCTTTTAAATTGTATTCTTCATTTAGCTGAACTAAGAGTCCCTTAATCTTTTTTAAATTCCTTGGAGAAATGTCACTGATTTCCTTTTAAATTGTATTCTTCATTTAGCGGAACTAAGAGTCCCTTAATCTTTTTTAAATTCCTTGGAGAAATGTTCATCACAATCACATCTGAGAAAACATTCTTTGGTTGAGCTTGATAATTTAGCAGTAGAAAAAAGCTGTCTGGTGGATGCTTATGAAGTTAAATTTCTTTATTTTCATTTATTTGCACGGATAAGAAAAAAATGTTGATTGGCATATTTGATATGTATAATGACCATACGATTAAAAAAAAGGCCTGGTTAATTTGTCTAATATGTCTAGTTCCACTAGTTAAATTTGTTTGTACTTGACGTCTTGATCATATGAAATCTTGTATAGAGAATGGGGGTCTTATTTTATCTTCTAATGCAGTTCATCATCACTCTGCTAAACTACTATGTTATATTATGGTCAAAATGATCCCTGGATTTTGAAAAAGGAGCCATTTTGGTCCCAAACTATTTAATGTATTATATTTAGTCCCACAAAACTTGAAAATTGACCCACAATTTAGTCCCATTGTTAAAAATCCTATCTATTTTTATTAAATGTTCCCGCACATAGTACCTACACCATACATGAATTGCCTCTCGAAGAAAATGCATAATTCTTATTTTTAATGGTAAAACTAATTTTGATCAATTTTCAAGAGTTACGGGGTCACAATGAGGCAAGAATGATTCCCCTCACAAAATCTAGAGACTATTTTGACCATTTTTCGTCAATCTTTGTGATATCTTTTATCATTATGTGGTTTGAATTGTTAAAAAAAAAAAATTAGGAGATGCAAGTTGTGTTAATGAAACAACATAAATTCAAACCACTAAAATTTGGTTTTTATGTTGACTTTTTTTCACCAACTTTTTCTTGTTAAGTAACCAAAAATGAAGATGTGCATACCTTTTTCCCTTGATCTCCCGTCAAAAATGATAAAATATATGATAGTGTGTTCAACTAAAGTAATCTTATTATGTTGCAATTTTATTTATTTGTGTTTTGTGTCCTTTTATATTTTGGATTTTTTTATTCGTAGCAATTGTTGAGGTAATCCATTACTTAGGCATGTGTTTTATGTAAGCTTGATCGAAATCCTCTTTTCTTTTTTTGTTTCCTTTTGTAGTTAATTTTAATAAAAAAAAAACACGCATGCTTGGTGCAGTGAGACTATGACTTGTAATTTCTTAACCACTTGCCACCTATTTAAGTACGCCGGGCTTGATATCGACAAGTAAATTTTCTTGCCTTGAATTTTTTCTGACTTTGTTCTCTTATAAACTAGTAAAAAGATAATATTCGTAATGCAGCCTTCAGAACTTGGAATGCTGCTTATTTGTCCTTTTCCCTTATTTTTCGTAAGAAAGCAACCAGTTTTTTCATCTTTCCATTAAATTACAACAAAAACTTAAAAAGTTCCTGTTTTTAACTTGTTATCTGTTTTCAGATACATGCTCGCAGAGGGCCTCGGTTTGTCTGGAATTGTTTCAATATTGTTCACTGGAATTGTAAGTGAATTTTTAGGGGCTATTTGGGATCACCTGGAATTGTAAGTGAATTTTTAGGGGCTATTTGGGCTCACTTTTGTTTTTATTTTCTATTTTTATTTTATTTTATTTTGTTTATTTTTTAATTTGAAACAAAACATGTTTGGCAATTTGATTAAAGTATGTTTGTTTTTCAAAATACTCAAAACACCTAAAATTTTTTTTGTGCCCTTTTCAAAAACATGTTAATTCATTTTTAGAAACAAACATGTAAAAAACTTATTAAACAAAAATGTTTTTAAAAATAAAAACAAAAAACAAAATTGATCCCAAACAAGCCCTTAGTTTTTGGTTTATGTCTCATATGCTTAATTTATTCTATAAAATGGTAAATGATCAAATAACCATCCCTTGAGTGTAGCTTATGAAGCACTACACCTTCTCAAATTTATCAGAAAGTTCACAGCAATTTGCTGCTGCTTTTTTCCACTTGATATCATCTCTTGCAGAAACGTTCATGTAAGAGGCATGCACATTAACTCAGGCGTCATGTATTTTAATGAAATTTATGTGACGATTCTATCATTGTTCCAAATTGGATCTTTTTTGCAGATTCATATACATGGGTTTTGATATCTCCATCAAACACCACAGCTTGTCACACGTTGGCTTTATCTTTTTCTCTGTTGTATCCTCTAGAACTCATCTTTTGCAGAAGTTTTAATTTTGTGGAAAAAAATTTCACTTTTGTTGATTCCTTAACTTTTATTTCATAAAATGATCAGCTTTTCATAGTGTTTGCGAGGTATGCATCGGTCACTCATTTATAAACCTCTTTATTTTTATTTATCCATACTTGGAAAGTATTAATAATGTGTCGGCTCATGCTCGTTTGATTCTATGGTGCTTTTTTAAGTTTTTTCCTGAGATATTGTCATGGTTATTATTTTGCTTGTTAGCTGTTTTTTAAACTTTAATTTTTATTCAATCATGTCAAAAGTTTTTTGTTCTTCCTTAGAAAACATGGCTTAGAGACTAGGTTAAAAACAAGGAGCTTTTAGTAGTTTGGTGCAATATATATATATTTTCTTTTTCCGAGCTAGAAGTCTTTTGCTTTCTCGTCATAGCGGAACTGTTTAATTTCATGTAAACCAATGAAGTTAATTGTTTATCTACTATCAGTGTTGTCAGATGAAGGGCTCACACTATCTCTCTTTATCCTATAAAAGTGGATCCAACTAATTTCCAGCAAGCCAATGAAGTTAATTGCTCAACCACTATTTGTGCTGCTATATGATGTGCTTACTCATCTCTCTTTCTCCTATAAATGCCCACTCTTGAATAGTTGAAGGGTCTCTTTGTGGCAGCTGTAGCTGTTTGAAGAAGCAATTGTGAAGTTTGCTATAGAAGAAGCTACTCTTCAAGAAGCTGTGATAGACATTACTTTTTTTTTTTCTTTTCAAAAGCAGAACATAGCTTTTTGGCAACCACTGCACTTAGCTGGATTAGGTTCTAAAACACAGCTTTTCCACCATAGCTTTTTGACGCCCAAGCGGTGCAGTCTAGCCCACCCCATCCCACAAGCCCACCCTTGAAATCAGCATACTTTCTCAATGTGCATGGAATGGAAATTTCTAATATAGGGCTCGACTGTACCAATTCTTTCCTTTTGATTGAGGCAAACTTATGTACTTGAATTGACCCCTCAAAGTTCTAATAGCATGGCAACAAATTTGGATTCCATGACTTGTTCAGGAGTCACTAGAATTGCCAAGGATTAGCTGTTCAAATCAACCGAAGTACAACTGGCCTTAGTAAATGTGTATTGATTTGCTGTCTGAATCAACCAAAGCAAAGTTGGCCTTTGAAAATTTGTATTGATTTGAAGAAAATGACTTCTAACTCTTGGCTTTGGTAATTTGTTATTGAAAACCCATGACAAGTTGTATTAAGAAAAAGCTAACATGATTCTCCTATACACAAATGATATAGCGCCATTGCACCTAAATCAAGTTTTTGCTGTGGTAGCGGGTTGAGCTTACCAGGCCCATGTGATGATGTAGAAGTACTTAAAGATTGAAGAGGGTTATTGGGCTAGCATAATAAGGAGAAGCAAGTGATGGTAAAGAGATCACATTTGGCAAAAAAGATATGATGCGCCAAATCAATAATTATGAACAAAAAGAGCATAAAAACATATACATACATATATATGTAAATATATGTGTGTGTGTGTATCAAAATGGCGATTTCCGTCGTCTGCTCTACTAGGGTTTCGCCTGATAGAGATTTTCGTCGTCTACCTCTTTGATTCAGTCGCGTCGAAGGAAAAGGGCACGTGGTTCATTGCCTTGGTTTCAACCTCCGCCTACTGCGCTCATCGTCTCTCTGCTTCCGTTGTTTCGCGTCTTCAACTTCGTTTGTTTCAACGTCGAGCGTCTTCTTCGCGTCTTCAACTTCGTTTGTTTCAACGTCGAGCTTCTGTTGTCTTGTGTTTTGCGTCTTTGGCTTCGTCTGCTTCGACCTATGCCTACTGTGTTCATGTCTCCCAGCTTCCTTCTTCGCGTCTTCGACTTCGTGCGCTTTCGCCTCTTGCATTTTCACGTCTGTCTGCCTCCATCAGGCCGTCCCTGCTTCGATGGGTGCGCTCCCTCCTTCGGCTGAACCCGACAAAGCCTCCTTCGCCCACGTGTTGGGTAACCATCTGGTGGAGTCGGCTATTGTCTTCCCGTCAAGTTATAAGGATTGTCGTGATAGTACATGTAACTGCCCTTTTGTTAAGAAGAAGAGTAGGAAGGGTGGGAAAACAACTATCTTTTCCTCTGATTTAGAAATTTCAACTTTGACTAAGAAATGCAAGTTCGTTCTCATCGTAAAATTTCAGTTGGGGCACCCCTTTATGGAAGTTATCAGAAAGAGTTTTGAAGATATCAAATTAGTAAAAAAGTGGAAAGTGAGACTTCTTGATGAGAGACATGTGTTGATTCAGTTAACCTTAGTTGAAGACTATACTCAAATTTTTTCTTAGAAATATCTTAACATTATAGGAAAGTTAATGAAGTTGCTCAAATAGTCTCCTGATTTTAACCCAAATCATGAATTTCTCACTGTGCAGTATGGTTTAGTTTATTTAGTCTTAAACTGCATCTATTTAATCATCAGGTTCTCTACTCTATCGGGGTCATACTTGGGAATCCCATGAAATTAGATCTACCCATCTTCAATCTAATCAGACCTTCTGTTGCCAGAATATTTGTGGAAAGAGATATCATTTTATCTGATATTACAGAAGTTTGGCTGGACACAACACATGATGGATATTGACAACAAATTGTCATGGAACATAGATACCCTTTTATTGTATGCATAATGATGGATATTGACAACAAATTGTCATGGAACATAAATACCCTTTTATTGTATGCCTTTTATTGTATGCATAGTAAGATGTTTGGGCATACCCTTGACAAATGTCACAGGTTCCACACTAACTTGAAACCTAAAGCTCAACTACATAAGGACGCGCTTAACACCACTGCTCTGAACACATCTACTCCTTAGGAGGAAATTACCACAAGACAAAAATTGGTGTCTGGTTTTATTGCCCCTGGGGGGACTACCTCTTCACCTGTGGAGGAGCCTTTGATGCCTGCTCCTATTTTCCTTGAGGGGGATTGCTCACTTGTTATGCCTTGTGTATAACCTCAGTTGGTAGTGGATGAGGAGTTATTGCCCCAGTTTCAAGCTCAAAATTCTACCTTAGGTGATCTTTCTACTGCAGCCTACCATCTGATCTGATCGAACTAGTTTTTAATGTCAATCAGGCACAAGGGGAACTTGTTGTGCAACAGCCTACACCTGCCTGATAATTTTTTGACCAATACATTGATCAGTTGAGCCAATCTTCGGATGAAGATTGGAAGGTTTACACATCTAGGAAGAAGAAAAAGAATAAAGGCCTACTAAAACTCGGGAACTTAATGGATGAGACCTTGGTTGCTTCGGGTAATGGTAGAAAACTTAACAATTTGTTAGTAAGTTCCCTACCGAGAACCAGCGGTAAGAGATAATGTATATTGGATCGCACCCATGCTCCTATTATCTATGTAAAAAGTTTTCATGAGTCCTTTTTTGGTAAATCAATTACTCCAGCTTTTCGTTCTCCCTTTCTTTCAGTCCTTGGCCAGCCTACACACGCATCTAGGGGGTGACTCAACTGAAACGGATTGTGAATTTTGTGTAGGAAGAAGACTCCCTATTAGAGGTTGAAGGCCTCAACAAGTATTTTCTCCATCTGTTTGGCATTTATAGCTTTCACCGATCCAACTGCTACTTCCAAACGGCTTGTGAATTTTGCTTTGTTTGGAGATTTTAGTGTAGAGATTATATTATTATGATCTTGGGTATACATGTACTTTTTTGGAGATTTTGGTATGTGTTGTATACCGGGTGTTTTGCATTCTTACTTTGACCCACTCATCCAACCTATTTTGTACCACTCCTTTCTAATCTATTAGCCCTTTGGCTTTTTTAATATATA